CTCCACCTCTGCCACCTCTTGGAGCACCTCTTCCTCGAAAAGCTCCACCTCCACGACCACCACCTCTACCACCACCTCTGCCTCCCCCACGGCCACCTCTTGTAGAACCTTGTGTCTGGCCCCTGGAAAAACACAGCATGGCATTGGATTAAAATTATTTCAATGAAAATTTTTTGGTCATCACTTGAATGAGTTTTAATAAAGAATATATAACGGGAATAATCTGTTAACCAAGTGTATAAATTTCTCGAGGGATATGTGTTCTTGGTTGATCAGAAAAGTAGTAGCAATTAAAGTCCAACAAACAGAGAACATAACTTAAGCAAGTAAACAAGCATGCATCAGTGGATTTGGCAAAATAATTTACAAGTCCAAGCAAATCAAAGCAGATGCTCTTGGTTGAAAGATTATTACAAGCAAAAACAACTTTAGAACACAACGATGAAGCCTAATATTGTCAATCAAGTTGCCCAAGTCCTCAAATCTTAGTTGTCCTGCTTGGGACACTCAAATCATAAAACCATATACAACTCCACTAATCAGTCTCAATGCATCAAAATTAACTACCTAAATAAGGGGTTTGTTTAGCATAAAGTAAAGATGAGAATACGAGACAAACTTTAATTGTGGAAGAGTTGAACAACTGAAGTCATAAGAGATGGTGGATTGTAGACCCAAAGCAAAAAGGCACTAGGCATTAAGAAAATTTCCTCTTCTAATTTAATTCAAGCCATGTAAAAGACTAAACTTCTCATCTAACATAAAAGATAAGAACATTGGACATACTTTGGCTGTGGAAGAAATCTTGCAAGAGGCAAAAGCTTGTTTGGGTCAATGTAGAACTTATCACCCAGGACATATGAAGTTGCTACAATACCTTCCAACATTTTGATGGAAAAATACTGCATCCCAATGAAACCTCCAATCAATCCAAAACTGAACAGATAGTGCAAGTAATTAGAAAGCAGACAGAATTATGATCGGAAGCAGACTTACAGACTCATTTATTGGACCGAAGATTTCATCAACTTTCCCTATCTGGGTCTTGTTCTGCAGATAGATTGGGGCATTAAAGTAAGGTATTTTCTCATTACTGAGCTTTGTCACTGCATCACCCTCGCATGCATGAAGAAATGTAGAAACCTCTACATAACAAACAGTTCAAATTAGCATTTCGTTCATGTAAATTGCTGCTTTTGGGTTCTCTTAATCAATAAAAAGAAATAAAAAAACACAGCTTTTGATCAAAGAAAGCTCGTTCTCCTAATCAAGCTTAAGAATGAACACAAAGAAATAGATTTTACAAGACTGAGAAAAATAAAATAAAGAAAAAAAAAAGTGCCAAAGGGTCATTCCTTTACTCCCTTGATTCATCCCAATCTCCATGCTTTCAATTGTTTTTTCTTTCATTTTTCACGGAACACGAAAACAAAATCAAGGAAACAAGAAAAGGGTGCAAGAAACAGACCCACGACTTCGGAAGGAGGTCCTTCATCACGGAAGCCACCACCACCCCAACCACGTCCACCGCCTCCGCGACCGCCTCCTCCTCGGAAACCTCTTCCGCCACCTCGTCCGCCGTCTCTTCCGCCCCTAAAGCTGCCGCCGCCTCTTGGAGGTCGCATTGTCTCTGTTTGTTTTGCTTTCTCTACGATGCGAGACCTGTGGACCTTTGGTGCGCGCCTCGCCTTGTCTTAAAGGGGTTTTTAGGGTTTAGCTTACAGAAGGTACGGTAGCGTTCTTAGAGATTAAATTACCAGAATCTCCTTCAACTTCCTCTAAATTCACCGGATCACATGCCCCACGGCCCTTTCCAACTTTCTGTTATTATTAGGCTGGAGAAAATTGGCCCGTCTATGATACCCTATCAAATCTATGGAAAAAACAACCAAGAAAAGTGAAGTGCGTTTACTTTGATCATTAATGGAAGAGCAGTAACTTAATATTATATTAGAGGTTTTAGTCTGCACCTTATTTTTTTTTAAGATATGTGATACATATGATAAAATAATATCAAGAGTTTACATAATTAAAATACATTGACGTTTAAAATGTCTATTATAGTTATTTATTGAATAGGTTACAAGATATAATTCACTTAACAACGACTACAGTATATGTCTTACCACCAAAATGTCCTAATTTTCATGTTTTTGTTTTGAAAATTAAAAACAACCTTTTTGTTGTGTGGGTTGAAAAGTATGTACATCCTCACATTCATAATTCTTTCTTACATTAATGATTAGTTTTGTATAGTTTAGCTCTTTTTTAAATTGTTGAGTATATGTGTTGGCATGAGTTGTTTTTACGGAACCATTTTTTTTAACGTCAAAATTTTAATGTTTTTTTTATAACACAGAGATTTTAACTTTTTCTGGTGATCATACGTGGAGGAATCTACGTTGCAAGACTGCTCTCTTTTTCTTCAACATTGTAACATTTTGTTCACTTGCTTTAAACATGTTTAATTTTTGGTGGATATTCAGATATTACCCGCATCATTTGATGAAGCGAAGGAACATGGCGATATTTCCTCAGTTACTGAAATTGCATTAATGAGTTTTTGATCAAGGCTTTTTGTATGGTCTTCTCGGTGTTAGGTTGCAGACCCTGTTGCAACCATTGCCATTGCCATATGACCTCAAGCAAAATATGATGCAGGTCATCTCAACTTTGCAGCTGAGCAATTTCTTCTTTTCTTCATTGGTTATCTATAAATGATGGTGCCTTGTAGTACCACACGTTGTCTTATGTAAACAGAGATAATATAATTCACATCTTGAATGCTTCATATTGAAGAAAGATGATCACCTTCTTCAGGCACAAAGTCTAAACCCTGGTTAAAATGGGACTTAACAGAAAATAAAAGAATCATGAAAAATCAGAATATTTATTTCATTTTCTGGTACTCGAAACCAGATGCTATTTCAGGAAGCAAAAATCATACACGTTATGAGTGTTAAACTTTTGGAAGGGAGGTTACAGTTGGAACATGAGAAACTCAGCTACAATGACAGGGGGATTTAGCTCTCTTAGAATGAGAAGTCTTCAGGTATTTCTTGAAACTTACTTGATAGAAAGGTATTATACTTTCCTTGAAGATCTCCACCTGCAAATGTTATGTAATCTCGTAACGATATATGGTCACAAATATTGTAAAGGGTCACGCAGAAAGTGGGATCAACAAATCTACCTTTAAGTTCAAAGGGTGCAATGTTCTTTGACAAAGTAGATTGAACCAGCTTCAAAAGATCCTTTCCTAGAAAATCAAAGGCAAAGGAAGAAGAACATAAATACATTGCACATAGAAGATAAAGGACAAAATCCAGCTATGAATAGTAGTTAACGAGTTTCAATGGGATGATTCTGCCAAAACTGGTTTGATGATTTCTATAGAGGATACTGAGCATGAAACTCTAAAATCATTTGAAAGACAATCATCCTTTGGCACCAAGTTCTATTCATGATTCATGATATTCTTAAGATTGCTGGCTACATATAAAAAAGGAAAGCTAAATTGTGAGCTGTTTCAATATCCTTTCTATACCTGTTACAGTCTTTTCTCCTGCACGGGCATTGACAAGGAAAGATGATATCTGGTGGTCTTTCAACTGCAGCAAAAATAAGAAACCTATGTCAGAATAACTCCCACAGCTGAAAATTAAGGAATTTTAACCATACAAATACATTGAATTGGCAATAGATATTCATTGTTTAACCTTGGACAGAAGAGCTTTTGCAAGTTCTAAAGCATCAACACGTGTTGGACCCTTGGCATATGCAGGCACAAACTTCCCATTTTGATAACCTGCCAAAAAATGATAAGCCGCTTGCCCTGGAGATAGCTTTGATACAGAAGGAATGCCTCCAGAACTGCAGCACAAAGAAAATCACACCGCTTATAACTTTAAATATTCATAAATTGGATACACAAAATAAAGAACTACATAACAGTTTCCCTTCATTTAGTTTTTCTGAAACTGAAAGATTTGTGATTTAGAAATAAATACTACAGAAAGCAACCAGTCTTTTGTTTTGGTTGCATTACCATCATTAAGGCTTCACTGGTGCTTGTCAGCAATGCACACCAAGATTGTCCAATGCAATCTTACAGATAACTGTTTCTTTTTCTTCCAATAAAAAATAATCTCTCTTTTTATTTCCTATTTTATTTTATTTTTATTTTTACAAAAGTAGTAACATCAGCCAAGGAGAAACAGATTCTGCAATTTCACAGAGTTTAATGTTGTCAACATGAAATGGCAGGTGTACTAAGTGCTAACTCTATTCTGAACAATCAAAATAACTTTTGGGATATGGTTCTTGTTTGAAGATCATAATCAAGCATGTGATACAAGGAAGATAAACATTAAACCAGAAGAGGAAAGAGTGCCAGATACCAATAATATTTTTGTTAGAAGCAAAAACCTTTGTTAATTATTTTACCTGTCAGAGGTCACAAGTATAGCAGCAACTGGCATTTTGAATACATTTGAACCACCAGAATTCTTGGTTTGAAACAGTGGTGCAACACCTTGAGAGGAAAGTATCACACCAGCATCTGCAGACACCAATGAATCTGCACAACTCTGAATTGTATCCTCAGGTGCAAACAAAAGAACCACATTATCACCAGAGACAAGGAGCCTGAAATTTCAATCTACAGATGTAAATTACACAGAACAATCATGATGACTAACCAAAAAAAAAAAATATTATGATGACTATACTATGATATTAACTTAGGAAGAAATCTTTTACCTCGCAGATAGATGAAGGCCTCCGCGTGTTGATATAATTGGTCCAGACAAGGCAGCTAATGCTTCCTTAGTTCCATTTACATCAGAGAAAGCTTTGCCACATAAAATGAGTGAAGATCGCTCAATATCAGCTGCAATAATTCCATTATTTCCTTGAGTTCGAAGCCCAATAGCATCTGTGACAGCGGCACTGTATAACAAGAAGTTTTAAGCTGGAATAATACAACTTTTTGAAGCTGTTATATTACAATTTTCTTTGACCTCCATCAGTCTTGCTAGGGTTCATATGCAAGATCACATGAAATGATGGGCCAATCTTATGCTATTTTCGTCGAATGCTAAATAGGTATTCTTGAAGAGCTATAAGGAATTTATGGAAGAAAACCATCATAAATAGCAGCCTAGGAAGGGGCTGTAAGGTTGTTTGTGATTATCAGCCAAGCTGGAAAATTATGCTGTGAAAAATGTATAAATAATTCTGAGAAATAGTTCTTTATCCTTCTGAAATAGGGTTCACAATAAACAGGGTGAATAAGTGCTCCAAAATAAATTCAGGTAACTTTTCCATTTATATACCATATGTCATGTTCTTAATTATTCAAGCCGTTCTATGTGATGCAAAAGTATTGAGAGAAAACTAAATGACATATTTTAAGAGATCCATCTTTGAAAAATCCAATGAAAAACCTTAACTACTAATGAATGGCCAAGGAAAACATAAGCTTAAATTACCACTTAGAGAAATACCAACTCTATATTTCTGTGCACATAGTGATAGAGGTAACTACTGCTGCAAGTAAAAAGATAAAGAAATTAAAATCCCAATAATACCTTAAAGAAGCAGCAGCATAAACAGTCAAAGGGCAAGAATCATGGGAGACAGCACGGGTTGAAGTCTTCCACAAGATATTGGAAAGTGACAATATGGCAGATGGGTTGTCACTGATAACACGAACTTTGGCGTCAGATTTTGGTGATGAACCAATAGCCCCATCATGGACAAAAATGTTTGAGACATTGGATAGGTAAGTTGTAACCTACAAAAGCCAAGAAAAGAGGAGAGAGAAAAGGTAAATATAAACATTAAAGGACATGCAATAAGCAACGCATTATGCTTTCCAAAAAGGACTTTTGATACATAATGCAGGCATGAAGATTTCGGTTCCATCTTCCATGCTTCCAAAGCCATATAGAAATCTACTTTTGTAATCATCATTTGTTAAATGCATTCATTTTCTCCCAAATAAACATCCTAATCATGTTCCTTAATTTTATTTATGATTTGTGTTCCAGAAGAAAGTTATGTGATTCTCCATCACATTGCCTGCAAGCACTCATAGATCTGGAAATTAGACCATGAAACCACTCTAATAAAGAAATAACCATGGCTTGTAACTTCAGAAATGAAGACAAATGATCAATCATGACCTCAATGATCAAACAAAAAAGTAGTACTGTCTCATATGACCATTGTGATTGACTAAGTAAGAAAGAAATGAATCTCTATACTCCACTCATGCATGAAAGCAGTAAGTTGTAGCTGTACAATTAAATATGCACAAAAGAATGGCAAATAATGCTTTACTTATAACACACAGCCCAAAAAAGGAAAGACGGAAAATAGACAAAAAAAAATTCAGAATAAAGATTGTGTTTAAATTATAAGCATGCTTCATTATAGCATCAGAAAACACACACACATATACCGGCAAAAAGAAAAAAAAAAAGAAAAAAGAAGCAAATATATATAGAACTGAACCAAAAAAATCTTCATTTTTAATTTTTATTAAATGTCGTAAAAAGCAGGCCTAGGTAGTGCCATTCAGCCTGCATCAGCTTCTAGGTGGAAATTCAATGTGGTTTGCACTGCCCAGATCAATTAAGCATGCCCAGCCACTATTAGGTGTGCTTAATGGGACCTAAAGCGCCTGAGCAAATTTTTTTTTTTTTAAGCCTACTTTAATGACGTCATTTAATTTATTATAAAAATTATATTAAAAAATTAAATCCCAAGTAATTCCCCTAAATTCTGCTTTTCAGACATGATAATGAATAGAAAAATGTTTAATTTTTCTGTTTATTTTTTAATTTTTAAAATTGTTTTACATTTTTCTTATTTTCTTAGAATTATATCAAAAAAATTATTTAAAAAAAAAAAAAAAAGCCTAGGCACTGTCTATGCATGCTAGGCTCTACACCGTGGGTAACTGCCCACCATCGCCTAGCACTTTCTGCAACCTTTTACGAATAGAACAGCAGAGACAAGACTTACCTGCTTCAGAAGTTTACTGAATTGAGCCTTTGAAATTTCTGAAGCTCCTTCAAGAACATTTCCTCTAACATGAACTGGAACTCCTGACAAGGATTCTGAGGGAAGGAAAGGGAGGATAAAGAAAAAGACAAGGAAATCAGAGCAGCTAATGATAGACAGGACTAAAAAAATGCATACGAATTATGAAATCTTACCTGCAAGGCTAGCACCTCTTTGTTGCAACTCAGAAGACTTTAGGTTTTGGAAAGCTTTATCCTTCACAATGACACCTTTTCCGGCCAGAGCCCAATTTAGGCCATAAGAAAATCCAGGGCTCTCCCTGTAATAAAAGAGTAATCGATACATGAAATGCTACTTGAATTAGGCACTTGAATTAGGCACAAATTCCAAAGTATGTCAGGTAGTGTTAGTCATTTTATATGCAACTAGCTTTCTTATGCTTCCCACTAGGTAGTAATTGATAAGAAGCATGTGCAAATTTCTAGCATATCAAATCCATCTAGTAGGTGAACAGGACAGCACTTTACATTAAATTGAAACATTCATAAAACTGAATCTCTCTTTGAGGTTTGAATTGAAACATAAATGTGTCCACAAGATAAATGCCACTCTCCTAGTGCAACAGATAGAACCAGCAGTCAAAAAAAATTACTATTAGCTAGTAGCAATTCAGTATCAGAGACATTTCACTTAATTAGCTCTTCTGAGTCTGTGAGAAGCGAGAACCACAAACAACTACAGCCAATATTATAATGTAGTTAATTCTAGTTCAAGCTTAACATTAGAGTTTCTAATCATCTGCTAAAAGGAACACTCTTTATCCTTAGCTACCACTGGCCAATGGAACCCATTAATCTTCCAAGTTCTCTCACCTCAACATGGTTTAATCTGCAAATTGCATTTTCAAAACCCCTTCACCCCCTCTTCAATCAGAAGACAGTTTGGTATGTGGAAAGAAAATTCAGCCCCATCTAGATTTTAACATGTTGGCTAGCATGCAACTTTTCCTCTTCACACCATTACCATTAAGGACTAGGTTAGGAATGCCTTTTACGCAGGATAAATTTCCAAAATTTATCAAAATGTAACCAACCAAATATTTACCTTGGAAAAACTACTGTTTCAGCTTCCTCCTCAACCAGTGGGACTGAGACTGCATTCTGTAATAAATTCAGTTAAGTAATGAATACTTGTTACTGAGCATATTAACTATAAAAAATAAATGAATAAACAAGGCACATAAATGAGAGAAAAACACAAATACCAATAACCATTGTTGCAACTTACAATAGGATACACCATGAAATTTGCAAAACATCACACGCCACACCTCCACAATAAGAACAAGACAAATTATGAAAATCCCTAGGTTTTAAAGGGTGAAGTAGAAAGCAGGTTTGGCTTAATTGACATGATTTTGGTTCATTAAAGTTGAAAACTTTATCATTCAAATTCAAACCATATTCATTCAATAAAATTCAAAAAATCGTGATGTGCTGTTTATGAAAGGGGTTAATTAAAAGAGAAAGAGATCACTCAAAATCACTCAGCTTAAGAAACATAGGGTTTAGCTCCAGATGCAGAATTCAAGCAAGCCAAGAGGACAAGAATAATGTCGATCATATAATGTATACAAATTAACAAGCTGAGAGAAAAATCTAATCTAAGGCAACTTAAATCAAAGCTAAATCATATTGAAAACAATGCCCATATTATCATATCCATAGAAAATGGAGAAAAATGAAACTTACACGTCGAGAGGAGAGCAGGAAGGGGAGAGCGGATCTGGAGGAAGCAGAGAACGATGAGGTTTCGATGAATCGCTTCAGAATAAGGTTACTCATTTCCGGCCGGCGAGAAGAAAGTTGAGAAGAGAGGAGCTCAGGAGGGGAGTGTGAGACAGAAAACACCGAAACCAAATCACTCTTGCAGCGTTGAAGACTCAGTGGGTGTGAGGGAGAAAGACGACTTATGGGCTGGAGTTGGGCGTCGCAGCCGTTCTAGGCCAGGTACTCTTCGGCCCAGACCCATTTGGACTTCTTTTATTTTCTATTTTATTATTGTATTTAATCTCATTTAGACCTATTTAGTACAGTAATTAAAATTTAGCGGATAGTAGGTAGCGAATAACAGCTAATGATAACGGGTAGTGGGTGACGATTAGGTGGATGGCGGATAACGAAAAGTGGGTAACGGATGGTCAATAGCAGATTCGATAAATATAACTGTTTGACTATACAATAGGTAACTGTTGTTGTTTAACATTACATGACTAATAAGAA